AATAGTTGAGCACATGAAACGAAGTTGCCTTGATATCATCATTTACGTTCCACAAAACATTGGAGCATTCTTGTTCCATTTGTTATATTTACACGTTTCGAAGTAAATTTAATAAGACGAACGAATAGGAGCGCGGGCAGTATAATCCATCAACAGAGGAACTAATACGGTCGTAAAAGACAATAGTGATCATCTATAAAAAGACGTTACGTTGAAAGAAGAAAACGCGTGATCGTGCCGATCATCTCTATTTATAATAAACGACATGCACGCAATGTCATGATTTATTTGCATAATGAATAAAATAAAACACTACTAGTTACCATCTAGACATGACATGTATTCTAATTTGTAGCAAATTTTTTACATTTTCTTTTTTATTTTTATTCGCAAGTTTAAATTCCATAACACTGTCGACTTCAAAATAAAGAGATAGATTAAAAAAGTATTATTTAATTTTAAGTATTATTTTTTTGTTTAATAATTTAAATGAAATTAATCATGATTGTTTAGATAGATATTTCAATAGAAATAATTGAATTTATACAAATCCTTCTAAAAATTATATATAACATATACACAACACAATAATATTTTCTCTTTCAATTATATTTGAGTTTCTTCTCGAACAATTTTGTTATTTGTATTCGTTAGCAAGTGTAACCGAAAAATACATAAAATAAAAAATCGAGCTATCATACAATATGCATGTTGTAACATATGTAAAACAAAAATTAAAAGTAAACAAACATATTGAATGTTCCATAAAACCCAGTTTACCAGAATAATAAAATAGAATGTGATTTTACTTATAAATTATACAGTTTACCGAAATAATATGTTACATAATTTGACATTATTATGTATAAAGTATAATATATATTTTGTATATATAATAATGTCAATTCGTGTAACATATCATTTCAATAAATCGTGTAACTAAATAATTTAATATTATTATAGAATATTTTATTCTATAATATTAATATAGAATATTATATTCTACAATAATTCACAAAAGTATAGATATATTAGAAATTATAGAATATATTATTTCGATTATATAACATTTGTTTTTTTGTTACTGCGAATAATAAACAGTTACAAAATAAAATCCGTCTTCAATAAACTGATTGTTTAAAATCTTTCAAACTTTTATTTATATAATTTCCACTTATGATAATTTAATTTAAAAGATGAAAATCCAAATCGAAAATCAGATCATGATTGTCTATGTTTCTATTATATTTTCATGTCGCGACTTTTTCTTATCGGCTCAAAATAATTTAAAATATCTACACTCAGCAGTTTTGCTTCATGAAAGAACTGTATTCGGCACAAACCGTTTATTTACATACGTAATAAATTATGTAAGTTTATATCAATCTCTTGTAGAAGAGATCTTGTCTTCGGTTTTACACGCTGTTTATTGCAGATAAACGATTCGACGAAAACATTGCTAAATTTAGACTAATTTTTAAACTAGAAAATCATATTACTTTAAACATTATTACACAATGCGCAAATCAAAGGCACATATCCAAACATTGTATTTCCGATTCCGCGTAATACATTTATTACATTTCAAGAATTTTATTCCGTGCCTTAGATAACATTTAAATTAAATTAAACAAAAATGAATTACATTTGTCCTGTATAAGTTAAATAACTTGCATGATTTCTATTTACATTAGACTCGCGTAACTAAATAATATAAATTTCCAAGCTGTTAGAATGGTATTCTCTCTCTCTCTCTTTCTCTCTCTCTCTCTCTCTCTCTCTCTCTCTCTCTCTCATGATTTTTGAAAAATTAGAATTCTTTTTAGAAAATTAAAGTCCTCTTCAAAAGAATAATTTCCTTCTAGATAGTTCTTGAATTTTTATGTTATTCAAATTTCTTACCTTTCGTACTTAAGATTTGTTGCTCGACAGTCTCAATATGCTGCGATTCTTCAGGTATCTGAATAATCCAACGAATTTTCCTCCGCTGCATCTGAAACGATCGACCGCGTAGCAGTCGATAATCCAATATTTAAGAATCGCGAAGTGTCGCGTGATTTGCGATTCTAGCCGCTAGACTGAATGAGATTAGTAGCGTAAGGCTGATTTAAGGCCGCCGCGACGCCGACGGTATCGGCGCGATTATTTTTTACGAATGAAGGTTCACCGATAATACGAACGAATGAAGCACTATTTCTATTGGTAGTACAACAATCTGTAGCGAATCTTTAAATTATCACGAAAATATTTACGATTCGAAATTTTTTTCTGGAATCTTAGAAATCACAATCACAAATATCGTTATTGTATTTTAATTCAAAACTAATTTAACTTTCTCGAATTTTCCTCCTGATACGTATTTGAAATTAAAACTAGATTTTAATTGTATAAATAAAACATTTATATTAATATTGTTCTTTGATTGAAACAGAGATTTGTTGATTATTTTAATCCACAAAAATTTGCATTACAAGATTTAAATGCCAACTATTGATACAAAACTTTAAGAATCATTAACTATTATTTACTATAAATATTTCTTTAATGCGTGAAGTTTTTTTTATCTGTACATGTATATTTAGCTGTCGAAAACTATTTTATAATTCGAGATAATTTATAGATAAGTTATCATAATAAAGAAAAATACTTTCTGTAATTAATCAAAGAAATACTTCTCCTAATAATCGCGTTTAAAATCCATTAATCAAGGTCAAAACAACGAGCGTATTAGCCAAGTGTGATTGCGATTTGTTACGCGAACACCTATGGGTGACCTCCACCTATACACACTCGCACAAATTGCGAACAAATTACGCGCTTCCTACTGTATAATCATTAACGGAAACAAAAGCCAGAACATCATCGTGCAGTGAATGACAGCATGAAGTGTTGCCGTTTTCCATGCACCGGTAATCCCAGCATCCCAGTAATTCACATCTCTCGTCGTCGCCCGATTCACTCTCGTGACTGCGAAATCGCACTCGCGACGCGGGGAACGCATCATTTCGCACCTAATCGACAGATTCCTGTAGGAACAATCGTTCACCTTGAAGACGACCGCGCAACATCGGAGAGAAATGCGTTCTTTCGTCTCTCGTTCGGAGAACGTTCTATACCAGACGTCGTGGACTGGACGATAAGCCGGTGGACGTAAATACTGACAGCGATTTGGTCAGCGGAAGTGACACTGACTATCCGGACGGGGCACCCATCGCGTCCGAGCGCGTGCCCACTATATGTCAACTCTTAGCCACGAGGAGGAATTGTCAGTCAGCGCGCACATACTCATGCTCAGTACTCGCCGTAGCTGCCGCCGGTGCAATCTCATTGTAGATGCCTCTCGGCTAATCACCAGAGAACGTCATCACGCCTACGTTCGCGGCCGACAACCTGTCACGCGGCATAAGACCCGATAATAAACATGATAATAAGTATAGGTACATGCGAGTCGGTTCTTCTGCATGCAATCTCTTGAGTGTCTCTTTAGTAGCTTTTCTTTGAGATTTCTCGGAGCAATTTGGAAATGGTCTTTATGCCTGGATGAAAACGTCATCGATGGATCGGTCATTTGTTAATTGTAAAGGATTGAAATGATTAATTGATAATTATAATATAAAGGAGGGATATTCCATGTTCCGTTTAAGTCTCTGAATTGTGATTATAACGTATAATTTAACTCATAAATGAGTGAAGAGAGCGATATTATTCGATCGAGGTGGGTCTTGCCTATAACAATATATTGTGTTTCATTTTTACAATTTTTAATTCAAAACAAATTGCACACTGTTTATATTTGTGTCGGTCTTGAAACACAGTCTTAGACTGGAGCACGTAATCTCACAAATTAAATTGACAGGCAATTTAATATTATTGATGCTAATAAAAATCTTTAAAGCACTAAATAATTTCTTTCTTAACCCATAAACATGAACATTGAATCTCATTATAAATCTTACAAAAATTAACATTCCATTTTCTAAATTTTAAGAATATATTTAAAGAATTAGAGAATAATTATTCTATGAATAATAATAAGATGTAAATAGAAATAAAATTAAAAATAAAAAATGAATTGAGGACGAAAAATTAAAATTAAAATTT